CTGGGGGGGCTGGGGACATCAGGGGGGTCATGGAGATCCCGTGGGATCTGGGGGGGATCTGGTGGGGTCTGGGCTTTGGGGGGGCTGGGGACATTAGGGGGGTCACAGAGGATCCCAGGGATCTTATGGGATCTGGGCCCTGGGGGGGGGCTGGGCACAGCAGGGGCATCACGGGGATCCTGTGGGATCTGAGGGGATCCAGGGAGGACTTGGGGGTCCTGGGGCTGTGAGTTGATCCCAGTGGATCCCAGCAGATCCCAGTTGACCCCACTGGATCCCCTCCCCCCAGGTCTCGGTGCTGTGTTTCGGGAAGGAGGGGGGATCCCAGGGCAGTGTGTAGATCCCAGCGGATCCCAGTGGATTCCCTCAGCTCTCAGTGCTCAGCTTCGGGAAGGAGGGGGGGTCACAGGGCTGTGTGTGGGTGCCTGTGGATCCCAGTGGATCCCATCAGATCCCAGTGGACCCCACTGGATCCCCTGCCCAGGTCTTGGTGTTCCTTTTCGGGAAGGAGGGGGATCCCAGGGCTGTGTGGGGATCCCATCAGATCCCAGTGGATCCCAGCAGATCCCACTGGATCCCTCCCCAGGTCTCGGCGCTCCATTTTGGGAAGGAGGGGGATCATGGGGGGATCCCCGGGCTGCGTGTGGGTGGCTGTAGATCCCAGCAGATCCCAGTGGATCCCCGTGGATCTCCCCAGGTCTCGGTGCTGCGTTTTGGGAAGAGGGGGGATCCCAGGGCTGTGTGTGGGTCCCAGCAGATCCCAGTGGATTCTAGTGAGTCCCAGTAGATCTCACTGGATCCCCTGCCCAGGTCTCAGCGCTCTATTTTGGGAAGGAGGGGGATCCCAGGGCTGTGTGGGGATCCCATCAGATCCCACTGGATCCCCTCTCCCCAGGTCTCAGCACTCCATTTCAGGAAGGAGGGGGGGATCATGGGGGGATCCCTGAGCTCTGTGTGTGTGGCTGTGGATCCCAGCAGATCCCAGTGGGTCCCACTGGATCCCACTGGATCCCAGCAGATCCCCTCTCCCCAGGTCTCAGCACTCCATTTCAGGAAGGAGGGGGGGATCATGGGGGGATCCCTGAGCTCTGTGTGTGTGGCTGTGGATCCCAGCAGATCCCAGTGGATCCCAGCGGATTCCCAGCAGATCCCCTCCCCCCAGGTCTCGGCGCTGCGTTTCAGGGAGGAGGGGGGATCATGGGGGGGATCCCTGGGCTGTGTGTGGGTGGCTGTAGATCCCAGCAGATCCAAGTGGATCCCAGCGGATTCCCAGCAGATCCCCTCCCCCCAGGTCTCGGCGCTGTGTTTCGGGAAGGAGGGGGGATCATGGGGGGGATCCCCGGGCTGTGTGTGAAAATCCCATCAGATCCCAGTGGATCCCACTGGATCCCCTCCCCCCAGGTCTCGGCGCTGCATTTCGGGAAGGAGGGGGATCCCCGGGCTGTGTGTGGATCCCATCGGATCCCAGTGAATCCCACTGGATCCCCTCCCCCCAGGTCTCGGCGCTGCGTTTCGGGAAGGAGGGGGATCCCCGGGCTGTGTGTGGATCCCATCGGATCCCAGTGAATCCCACTGGATCCCCTCCCCCCAGGTCTCGGCGCTGCGTTTCGGGAAGGAGGGGGGATCATGGGGGGATCCCCGGGCTGTGTGTGGGTGGCTGTAGATCCCAGCAGATCCCAGTTGATCCCATCAGATCCCAGTGGACCCCACTGGATCCCCTCTCCCCAGGTCTCAGCGCTGCGTTTCGGGAAGGAGGTCGACAGCCGCTGCCTGGCCCTGACGGCCTCGTACCTGCGGGACCCCCCCGAGGGACCCCGGCCCAGCTGCTCCTTCTTCCAGGTGATCCCGGGGGGGATCCAGGGGGTCCTGAGGGGTCTGGGGGTCCCGAAGGCTCTCAGGGAACTCCTGGGGGGGGTCTCCCCCAGCCCCATTTTTTGGCCTCCCCACCCCATTTTTGGGTGCCTCCAGCCCCATTTTTGCTGCCCCCAGCCCCATTTTTGCTGCCCCCAGCCCCATTTTTGCGTGCCCCCAGCCCCATTTTTGGTGTCCCCACCCCATTTTTTGGCATCCCCAGCCCATTTTTGGGTGCCCCCAGCCCCATTTTTGGGTGCCCCCAGCCCCATTTTTTGGCCTCCCCACCCCATTTTTGGGTGCCTCCAGCCCCATTTTTGCTGCCCCCAGCCCCATTTTTGCTGCCCCCAGCCCCATTTTTGCGTGCCCCCAGCCCCATTTTTGGTGTCCCCACCCCATTTTTTGGCATCCCCAGCCCATTTTTGGGTGCCCCCAGCCCCATTTTTGGGTGCCCCCAGCCCATTTTTGGGTGCCCCCACCCCGTTTGGGTGACCCCAGCCCCATTTCCCCAGGAGTTCGAGGCCCGGGGCCGGCAGAGCCCCCTCCCCTTCGGGGTTCACAACCTGGACGATCTCCGGGCGCTCGGGCGCCAGCGCGGCCTCTGCCCCTACTTCATGGCCAGGAGCTCGGTAAGGCACCCCAAAGTACCCCAAAAATATCCTGAAAATACCCCAAAACCACCCCAAAAATAGCCTGAAAATACCCCAAAAATATCCTCAAAGTGTCCTGAAAATATCCTGAAAATACCCTGGAAATACCCCAAAAATATCCTGAAAATACCCCAAAACCACCCCAAAAATGCCCTGAAAATACCCCAAAAATATCCCCAAAGTGTCCTGAAAATACCCTGGAAATACCCCAAAAATGTCCTGAAAATACCCCCAAACCACCCCAAAAATACCCTGAAAATACCCCAAAAATATCCCTAAAGTGTCCTGAAAATATCCTGAAAATACCCTGGAAATACCCCAAAAATGTCCTGAAAATACCCCCAAACCACCCCAAAAATACCCTGAAAATACCCCAAAAATATCCCTAAAGTGTCCTGAAAATATCCTGAAAATACCCTGGAAATACCCCAAAAATGTCCTGAAAATACCCCCAAACCACCCCAAAAATACCCTGAAAATACCCCAAAAATATCCCTAATCATAAACCCTGAAAATACCCCAAAAATATCCTAAAAGTACCCCAAAAATAATCTAAAAATATCCTGAAAATATCCTAATAAATGCCCTGAAAATACCCCAAAAATATCCCTGAAGTGTCCTGAAAATATTCTAAACAATACCTGAGAAATATCATAAAAATATTCTGAAATATTATTAAATATTCCAACTGCCCCTACTTCATGGCCAGGAGCTCGGTAAGGCACCCCAAAGTACCCCGAAAATACCCCAAAAACATCCCCAAAGTGTCCTGAAAATATCTTCGCCCTGAAAATACCCCAAAAATACCCTAAAAATACCCTGAAAATACTCCAAAATTATCCCCAAAGTGTCCTGAAAATATTCTAAAAATACCTGAGAAATATCATAAAAATATTCTGAAATATTATTAAATATTCCAACTGCCCCTACTTCATGGCCAGGAGCTCGGTAAGGCACCCCAAAGTACCCCAAAAATACCCCAAAAATATCCCTAAAGTGTCCTGAAAGTATTCTAAAAATACCCTGGAAATATCCTAAAAATATCCTGAAAATAGCCAAAAGTATCCCAAAAATATCCTAAAAATACCCCAAAAATACCCTGAAAATACCCCAAAACCACCCCAAAAATATCCTGAAAATACCATGAAAATACCCCAAAAGCACCCCAAAAAATATCCTAAAAATACCCTGAAAATACTCCAAAAATATCCTGAAAATACCCTGAAAATATCTTAAAAATATCCTAAAAATAACCTGAAAATATGCTAAAAATACCCCAAAAGTATCCTCAAAATATCATGAAAATATCCCAAAAATATCCTCAAAAATATCCCAAAACAACCCCAAAAATATGCTAAAAATATCCCAAAAGTATCCTAAGAGTGTCCTAAAAATATTCCAAAAATATCCCAAAAATATCCCAAAAGTATCCTAAGAATGTCCTAAAATTATTCCAAAAATATCCCAAAAATATCCCCAGAACACCCCAACCCCCCCAGGTGACCCCAAAACTCCCTCGGGGACCCCAAAACTCCTCTGGGTGACCCCAAATCCCCCCTGGAGACCCCAAATCCCCCCTGGGTGACCCCAAAACCCCTCTGGGGGACCCCAAAAATCCCTTGGGGACCCCAAAACTCCTCAGGGGGACCCTAAATCCTTTTGGGGACCCCAAAATCCCCTCTGGGAACCCCAAAACTCCCCTGAATGACCCCAAAACTCCTCTGGGGGACCCCAAAACCCCTCTGGGAACCCCAAAACCACCCCAAAACCCCTACAGGAGACCCCAAAACTCCTCTGGGGGACCCTAAAATCCCCTCTGGGAACACCAAAATTCCCCTGAATGACCCCAAAACTCCTCTAGGGGACCCTAAATTCCTCTGGGGACCCCAAAACCACCCCAAAACCCTTCTGGGTGACCCCAAACCCCCCCAAATTTGCAGCTGGCCCGCGCCAACGTGGTGGTGTACAGCTACCAGTGCCTGCTGGACCCCAAAATCCCCTCTGGGAGCCCCAAAACCCCCCTGAATGACCCCAAAACTCCTCTGGGAGACCCTAAATCCATCTGGGGGACCCCAAAACCCCCCAAATTTGCAGCTGGCCCACGCCAACGTGGTGGTGTACAGCTACCATTACCTGCTGGACCCCAAGATCGCGGGGCTGGTGTCGGCCGAGCTGGCGCGCTCCTCGGTCGTGGTGTTCGACGAGGCGCACAACATCGGTGGGACCCCCAAATCCTGGGCCTTTGGGGGGGGTCCTTGGGGGGTTTGGGGTCATTTATGGGGGTTTTGGCGGGGTTTTGGGGGGGGTTTGGGTTGTTTTTGGGGTAATTTTGGATTTCCTGACCCCCAAACCCCTCCCCAGACAACGTTTGCATCGAGGCCATGGGAGTGACCATCACCCGCCGGACGCTTGACCGCTGCCAGGCCAACGTGGCCGCGCTGCAGAGCCACGTCCAGCGGTCAGCAGGGGGATTTTGGGGGGATTTTGGGGGGATTTTGGGGTTTTAGGGCGGGTTTGGGGTCCCAGGGGTGGGATTTTGGGGTGCTCAGGGAGGGTTTGGGGGTGCTCAGAGTGAGTGACCATCACCCGCCGGACTCTTGACCGCTACCAGGCCAACGCTGCAGAACCACGGCCAGCGGTCAGCAGGGGGGATTTTGGGGGGATTTTGGGGGGTTTTTGGGGTTTTAGGAGGGGTTTGGGGTCCCAGGGATGGGATTTTGGGATCTTGGGGTGGATTTGGGATGTCAGAGGGATCTCAGGGATTATTTGGGATCCCAGGAGTGGATTTTGGGATCCCAGGGATGGGATTTGGGATCAGGGATGGATTTTGGGATCTCAGAGGGATCTCAGAGGGATCAGGGATGGATTTTGGGATCTCAGGGATGGATTTTGGGATCTCAGGGATGGATTTTGGGATCAGGGATGGATTTTGGGATCTCAGGGATGGATTTTGGGATCAGGGATGGATTTTGGGGTCTCAGGGATGGATTTTGGGATCAGGGATGGATTTGAGGATCTCAGGGATTATTTGGGATCCCAGGGATGGATTTTGGGATCAGGGATGGGATTTTGGGATCTCAAAGGGATCTCAGGGGGTTTTTGGGATCCCAGGGGTTATTTGGGGTCTCAGGGATGGATTTGGGATCCCAGGGATGGATTTTGGGATCTCAGGGATTATTTGGGATCCCAGGGGTGGATTTTGGGATCCCAGGGGTTATTTGGGACCCCAGAGATGGATTTTGGGATCTGGGAGGGATCTCAGGGATTATTTGGGACCCCAGAGATGGATTTTGGGATCTCAGAGGTATCTCAGGGGTGGATTTTGGGACCAGGGATGGATTTTGGGATCTCAGGGATGGATTTTGGGATCCATTCTAGGATCAAGGAGTCGGACTCGCGCCGCCTGGCCGAGGAGTACCGGCGCCTGGTGCAGGGGCTGTGGGTTTGGGACCCCAGGGGTGGATTTTGGGATCTCTTTCAGGATCAAGGAGTCGGACTCGCGCCGCCTGGCCGAGGAGTACCGGCGCCTGGTGCAGGGGCTGCGCGAGGCCGGCGCCGCCCGCGAGTCCGACCTGTTCCTGGGGAACCCCGTGCTGCCCGACGAGATCCTGCAGGGTACGGGACCCACCGGGATCCGCCAGGATCCGCTGGGATCCGCCGGGGTCGTGGAGCCCCCAAAACCTTGGGATCCACCTGGAGATCCTCGGGATCCACTAGAAATCCTGTCTAGGGAGAGTTTGGGGTCTGGGATCCGCCGGGATCCACTGGGATCCGCCAGGATCCGCCGGGGTTGTGGGAGCCCCCAAAAACCCTGGGGATCTACTTTGAGATCCTTGGGATCCGTCACAAAATCTGTCCAGGGAGACTCTGGGGGCTCTGGGATCCTTTGGGATCTGCCGGAATCTGCCGGGGTCGTGGGAACCCCCAAAACCTTTAGGATCCACCTGGAGATCCTTGGGATTCCTCATAAATCTTGTGCAGGGAGACTTTGGGGGTCTGGGATCCACCGGGATCCGCCGGGGTCGTGGGAATCCCCAAAACCCTGGGGATCCACCTGGAGATCCTCGGGATCCACTAGAAATCCTGTCCAGGGAGACTTTGGGGGTTTGGGATCTCCTGGGATCCACCAGGATCGTGGGAACCCCCAAAACCCTGGGGATTCACCTTGAGGTCCTCAGGATCCCTCAGAAATCCTGTCCAGGGAGAGTTTTTGGGGTCTGGGATCCACTTCATTTGTGGGAACCCCCAAAACCTTTGGGATCCACCTTGAGATCCTCGGGATCCATCAGAAATCCTGGCCAGGGAGAGTTTGGGGTCTGGGATCC